TTTTTTTCTTTTTCCAATTATCAGAGCAATGAGTGTGGAAAATAAGAAATAATATAGTCTTATTATGGTAATTTTATAACATATTACAGGAAAAGTAAGGAAGAATCTCTAAGGAAAGTCAATAAGTAGTCAGTTTAATGAAATTAATATTGCACTGTGCTACTGTCCAGACAATACTTTTTAATTTGAAAATGGGAAAATTAAAGATAGTTTATGTTCTGAGGATGATTTTACTCAACAATTGCCAAATTGTTAGATTTACAGTGATACATGCGCACTCAAATATTCTCAAAGTTAGAGAAACCCAGAATCTGCTCTATACAACTTTCTGTCAGAAGGGCTATTTTAGAATAAAAAAGGCCCAAGGTTTTCTGCCACTCACTATCAGGCTCACCTCCCACTCTTGGAGTTGAGAAGCAGACTAGTGAAACTGGAGGCTACTTCCTCCTTGAATTACAAAGAACTTGATATCCTGAGTACAAACAATAGTAAAGGATGCTACCTACCATTGTAAAACACATACCTAACTTTTCATGTAAAATTATAAAGAGGAATTTTTTAAAACATATGGCAATAGTGCTAGAAACATTTGTCTCTTGGGACATTCAGCCAAATATATCTCTCATGAGCTAAATTCACCACAGCTCAGTCAATACTCAATTTCAGCAAGTAATTGATTTTAGTGCATGAAACAAACTGGGATAGATTCCTTGTTTAAAGATTCAGGGAGTTCATAATCTTGTAAAGGAGACAGATAAAATCCAAGAATTTGTGAAACTAGTTATAAAGAATTGAAATTATTATTCCATATCCAAGTATTAACTGTCTTAGGTGTGTCAAACTTATTGCTGGATCAGAAAAACTGAAAGGAATAATAAATATGAACTGTCTATTGTAAGGGCAGAATCTCACTAAGGGAAGTAGAAGGTATTTTAAGTTACCCCCAAAGTACCTAAGTACAGTCAGATCTCCATGAGTGAGAACTGGCTTTAAAACCCAGTCACCATCATGCTTCTCATCACATAAGCAGTAGCCTAGTCTTCCTTCCTGTGTTGCTTCTCTCTATGACTCTATGTGACAAACAAGGATACAGCTTTCAAGTTTGTGTGAGCTCATGAGTCCAGTGCCTATACTGTTAATTGAATCAAGCTTCAATATTCCAACTCCAAATTGTAGGCTTAGCTTGGGTCAGATATCCATCCATGGTCCAATCAGCCATGGCATGGAGAACTAAGTCATATGTTACAGAGTGTTACCCATTCTGGGGATAAGAGAAGCTGGAATGCCTCAGGATGTGAGTAGAGAAGGAATCATTGGCATCTCTACCAAAAAGACATTCATGCTTTATGGTCCTTCATGTCACTGTCTTTGCACTTAGATAACTCCCAGCACTACATTTCTCAGTGATTAGCCCAAGGGTGAACACACATTGGTAGCAATCAAACTTGGCACTGCCCTTGGGAGTATAAGTAATAAAAACCTCCATCATATGCATGTTAATTAAGATGTGTAAGGTCACAGCAGGCTCTCTTTGGGACTCTTATTAGTGTTATGAAATTTTTTCCACATATATAGTAGTTACCATAATAAGAAATCAAATATCCCAACCCTCCCAAGTCAGTCTTCTTAAAAGCAAATAAGAAAACATAAATAGCCTTGCTGAAAACAGAAAAAAA